AGCAGTGAAGCCAGGGCACTCTACCCAGGGGCTCAGCTTGAGGCTTTGTCTCAAAAAAAAAGAAAGAGAGAGAAGCATGTCTGACAGTAAATAAACATATGTTTTTGGGAGGTTTTGATATTTATGGCATTTGCTTGATAAATTTGTTTTGCTTTTTTCTTTGATTTTTCTCATTCTAAATATTCCTTTTTCTATTTCATTTTGTATTTCCTCAAGTAGTCTTCTCAGGCCCTATAAATTTGGATCTGCTCTTGTATATAAACATCATCTTTCATTTCTATTTCAGTGTAAAGAACTGGCCAAGTTCAAGGCAGAAGTGGCCTGCATTGCAGTGTACGAAACAGACGTGTTTGTCGTCGGAACTGAGAGAGGATGCACCTTTGTCAACGCCAGGACAGATTTTCAAAAAGATTTTGCAAAATACTGTAGGTGTTCATAATTTTATCCTTAGTATTTCATAAGTCTTAAACTGTTAGCAGACAAGACCTATGTAATGTTTTCTTCAAAGATATCATAAGCATTCTCCAAAAAATGGTTCTGACACATCTCCTTTGAGTTGTTCTACCAAACTAATAGCTTGTTAACAGTGAGCAGTCCTGGCAGCGCCTATGGCTCAGTGAGTAGGGCACCGGCCCCATATACCAACAGTGGTGGGTTCAAACCTGGCCCCAGCCAAACTACAACAAAAAAATAGCCAGGCATTGTGGTGGGCGCCTATAGTCTCAGGTACTTGTGAGGCTGAGGCAAGAGAATTGCCTAAGCCCAAGAGCTAGAGGTTGCTATGAGCTGTAATGCTACAGCACTGTACTGAGGGCAACAAAGTGAAACTCTGTCTCTTAAAAACAAAAATCAAAAACAGTGAGCAGTCCTAGACAAATGGTCAGTATATTTCATCCTAGGTCCTCAGCAGGACTCTAGTTTTATAGAACAAATTTCTAGACATAGAATAAATTGCCTTTAATTCCTAAAACAAACCCATGTTTTATAAAATACTCTTACTTTAGTGCTTCCCCAAAAAAAGGGAAAAAAACTTGTCTAGGGTTTATTGTGTATTCTCCATTAAAACCCTTATGCGCTTACCCCCTTTCTCCCTCACTCTTCCTCTTTTTTTTTTTAACCGGGGCAATTTCAGAGCCTTCAAATGCCCAGGTGTGTTGGAAGTGCCCAGCATAAGTGAGCATATGTGGTCATGCATCAAGAAACTCTAAGGCCTGGGCGAGGTGCTGCACACCTATGATCCCAGGACTATGGGAGGTCAAGGCGCGTGGACTGCTTGAGCTCACAAGTTAGAGACCAGCCTGAGTAAGAGCAAGACCCATTTCTAAAAGATAGCCAGGCATTGTGACAGATGCCTGTAATCCTAGATACTCAGGAGGCTGAGGCAAGAGGATCATTTGAGCCCAAGAGTTTGAGGTTGCTGCGAGCTGTGATAGCCTGCTACTCTGCTGAGGGCAATGAAAATTTTGCCTTTCCCCTCACCCCTCCAAAAAATAAGGTGTTCAGACCTACACCTTTATGATGGTGATCTCTGCTAGGTTATCTACCAAGTATTGTATATGCCTGGGAACCAAGAAAGGGAAAAATTTTTCCAGAAAGGTTTGTCAGAGGATATAAGGGCATAAATATATGGTGAGAGAGAAAGAAAGAGGTAACTCCAGGGACTGGCAGAAGGGGTATGTGTGTATATATTACAGAGCAAATATCTAAGATTATACGTGGTGTAGATATACATATCCACATATATATGTATATGTACTGTGTATGTTGATAGATAAGTCAGGAGTCACTTGCCTCACCCTCCCGAGTAGCTGGGACTACAGGTGCCCGCCACAATGCCTGGCTATTTTTTTGTTGTAATTGTCGTCGTTTGGCAAGTCCAGGCTGGTTCAAACTGGCCAGTTCCATTGTATGTGGCTAGCACCCTAGCCCTGAGCTACAGGCACAGAGCTAAAAAAAAAATGAAGCCATTTTTAAAAAATACAATGAGGGGCAGCACCTGTGGCTCAGAGGAGTGGGATGCTGGCCCCATATGCTGGAAGTGGCGAGTTCAAACCCAGCCCTGGCCAGAAACTGCAAAAAAAAAAAAAAAATACAATGAGAGTGAGTATATAATAAAAAAGGATATTCTTATTAATGTCAGATGCCAAATGAATTTCTAATAATTGAAATTTAATTACAGAATTAAAAAAAATTGTACTTTCCATTGGTCTCTTTGTCTCTCTTTATGTCAGTACTTTACTGTTAGTATTATTGCAGCTTTATTATATCATTTGAAATCAGAAAATACTCCTCAAACTATGTTCTTCTTTTTTAAGATTGTTTCAGCTTTTCAGAGTCCTTTGTGATTCCATGAGTTTTAGGATGGGTTTTCTTAATATGTTCAAGAAATGCCATTGAAATTTTGATAAATGTGTAGATGGTTTTGAGTAGTATGGACTTTTTTTTTTTTCTCTGAGACAAAATCTCACTGCACTGCCCAGGTTAAAGTGCCATGGCATCAGCCTGGCTGACTCTAACCTCAAACTCCTGGGTTCATGGCTCGGCGCCTGTGGCTCAAGTAGCTAAGGCGCCAGCCACATACACCTAAGGTGGCAGGTTCGAATCCAACCCGGGCCTGCCAAAACAACAATGACGGCTGCAACCAAAAAATAGCCAGGTGTTGCAGTGGGCGCCTGTGGTCCCAGCTACTTGGGAGGCTGAGGCAGGAGACTTGCTTGAGCCCAGGAGTTGGAGGTTGCTGTGAGCTGTGATGCCAAAGCACTCTACCCAGGGGGACAGCTTGAGGCTCTGTCTCAAAAAAAAAAAAAAAAAACTCCTGGGTTCAAACAATCCTCCTGTCTTGAGCTAGTCTCAAACTCCCGAGCTCAAGGGGTCCTCCTGCCTTGGCCCCCCAGAGTGCTCGGATTACAGGTGTGAACTACTGTGCCTAGCCAGTACTTAACAATATTAAGTCTGCCAATCTGTGATGTCTTTACATTTTTTATTTGTGTCTTCTCTAATTTCTTTCAGCTATGTTTTATAGTCTCAATGCACAGGGTTTTTTTGTTTGTTTGTTTGCTTGAGACAGTCTCCCTATGTCACCCTCAGTAGAGTGATATGGTGTCACAGCTCGCAGCAACCTCAAACTCTTGGGCTTAAGCGATTCTCTTGCTTCACCCTTCCAAGTAGCTGGGACTACAGGCACCCGCCACAACACCTGGCTACTTTTTTGTTGTAGTTGTCGTTGTTTGGCAGGCCCAGGCTGGGTTCAAACCTGCCAGCCCTGGTGTATGTGGCCGGCGCCCTAGCTGCTGAGCTACAGGTACCGAGCCAGTGTACAGGTTTTTAACTCTTTGGTTAGGTTTGTTCCTTATTAGCGTATAGGAACACAACTGATGTTGGTGTGTTTAATATCCTGCAACTTTGCTGAATTTATGAGTTTTAATTTTTGTGTATAATTTTTACGATTTTCTACATATGTATATGTGAACATATCATCTACAGAGATAATTGTTCTTCCTTCTTTCCAGTTTGGATCCTTTTTTCTTTCTTTTTCTTACTAATTGCTCTGGCTAGGACTGTGTTGAATAGACATGAGGTGAGTGGGCATCTTTTTCTTGTTTCAATCTTAGAGGAAAAGCTTTTCATAAATGATCTTTTTTTTTATTATTATTTTATTTTATTTTTTTTTTTGAGACAGAGCCTCAAGCTGTCCCCTGGGTAGAGAGCTCTGGCATCAGAGCTCACAGCAACCTCCAACTCCTGGGCTCAAGTGAGTCTTCTGACTCAGCCTCCCAAGTAGCTGGGACCACAGGTGCCCAGCTATTTTTTGGTTGCAGCCATCATGGTTGTTTTGGCAGGCCCGGGCTGGATTCAAACCTGCCACCTTAGGTGTACGTGGCTGGCGCCTTAGCCACTTGAGCCACAGGCGCCAAGCCCATAAATGATCTTTATTATGTTGAGTTAATTTCCTTCTAAAGTCCTTGTTTGTTGAGTCTTTTTATTCTGAAAGGAAGTGAATCTTTTAGATGCATTTTTGGCAGCAATTGAGATGATCACATGGTTTTTGTCTCTTATCCTATTCATGTAGCATATGACATTGGTTGATTTTCATATATTGAACCATCTTTGCATTTAAGAAATAAATCCCATGTGATCAGGATGCATATTGGTTTGTTAATATTTTGTTGAAGATATTCATGCCGTCATTCATCAGAGATATAGGTCTATAGTTTTATTTTCTTGTAGTATTTTTTTTTCCCTTTGAGACAGAGTCTCACTGTGTCACCCTCAGTAGAGTGCTGTGGTCTCACAGCTCACAGCAACCTCAAACCCTTGGGCTTAAGTGATTCTCTTTCTTCAGCCTCCCAAGTAGCTGGGACTACAGGCGTCCACCACAACACCTGGCTATTATTTTGTCGCAGTTGTCATTGTTGTTTAGCTGGCTCAGGCTAGGTTCAAACCCACCAGCCTTGGTGCATGGGGCTGGCGCTATAACCATTGTGCTATGGGCGCTGAGGCTTTCTTGTAGTATTTTTATCTGGCTTTGTTGTCAGGGAAATGTAGGATTTCTAGAGCAAGTTTAGAAGTGTACATTCCTCTTTGATTTTTTGGAAGAGTTTCAGAAGAATTCACTTTAAACTTCATTTAAATGTTTGGTAGAATTCTCTGTGAAGTCATCTGGTCCTGGCTTTTGATTACAGATTCACTCTCTTACTCATTATTCATCTGTTGAGCTTTTCTGTTTCTTCGTGGTTCAGTCTTGGTAGGTTGTGACCTGTTTCTTCTAGGTTGTCCAACTTGTTGGTATATAATCATTCATAGTTTTTTCTCATAATCCTTTTTGTTCCTGACACATAGGTTGTAATGTTTCCTCTCTCAATTCTGATTTTACTCACTTGAGTGTTTTTCTATTTTTTCATTAATAGAATATTAATATTTACCGATCCTATTCATAGTCCCTGTGAATTTTTTAATGGACTTATATAGCATTTGTTTTAAGTTCTTTTTCTTGAGACAGAGTCTCATTTTGTTGCCCTCTGTAGAGTGCTATGCTGTCACACACGCCTCACAGCAACCTCAAACTCTTGGGCTTAAGCCATTCTTGTGCCTCAGCCTCCCAAGTAGCTGGGACTACAGGCACCCACCACAACACTCAGCTATTTTTTAGAGATGAGGTCTCGCTCTGCCTCAGGCTGGTCTCAAACTTGTAAACTCGGGCAATCCCCAGTCTCGGCCTCTCAGAGTGCTAGGAATACAGGTGTGAGCCACCTCACCTGGCCTGTTTTTAAGTTTTATGTGCTAATTTTTTTTAATCTCAAGATCATTGAGTAATATGTGATAATTTTAACATCTGAGTCATTTCTGAGTCTGTTTGTGTAGACTTTATTTTTTCCAAGACCAAGTCTCACCGTGTCACCCCCATGCTGGAGTGTAGTGGCTATTC